TCCTCACCTAAAAGTTAAGAGTTCCCCAATGCAAATAAAGACATTAAGTATGTCAGCTCCCACAAGACACTGTCATGGCAGCTAGGAAATCTGTTAAAGCTACTTCCTCTTAGAAAACACTACACATCTAGCAACAGATCTCTTTCCTGAAGATAAGATTACCAAGTGCTAGCTATTTTGGCTCTACATTTAATATAGTGTCTACAATAAAGTAGTAGCTTGACTTGATGCACCTTCAGGATGCAGCATCAGGCCTTTGCTGTCTGCTTCACACGAGTCTGGCTGCCTCTGGAAGGGCCCTGTTCTTCCTCATCACACTGCCTCTCCCTGCTTAACAGGGCACTGCTCTGGGGAGCCAGCAGCTTGCCCTGCTTGCTCACAACAGCTCTAGAAATCCTTGGGTCAGGAAAGGGAAGAAAGCAGCATTACAATTAACAGGATCCATCCTGCTTTGAGGCCAATACTGTCCAGAGGACCCAATGAGTGTCCCATGGGCTGGAGGGCACTTAACCTGTGTTTACAGGTTCTTTAGAAAAATATTCCTTCATCAGCATGGTCACTCCTCAACAGACAAAGGGACTGAACCCTTTAGAAAAATATTCCTTCATCAGCATAGTCACTCCTCAACAGACAAAGGGACTCTACAAGAGGCAGGTAGGGGCTATTTTGACCCAGCCTGCCAAGGCAAGGCTGTTATCTGACCCATGCCATGCAAGTTCAGAGTTGACACAGCAAAGAGTTTAGGTCAAGATGTTTAAAGCCAGAAAGTGTCACATGCTGGGAACTGCAGAGCTGCATTTTTGTGACCTTGGAGGGATGAAAAGCTGAGTCAGCCTTGCTGGGAGTCAAGGTACTGAAGGGTCTGGATATTTGAAACCTATACTTAGGCCACAAGACAGGGATGTAATGAAAAACCACACCATGGGTTGAATGGATTTATATTACACACTTGTAGGTCTGACTGGCTAGAGTTGAAGGGGTTTTAGATGTTTTTAAAGATAACCAAAAACACTAAATATGAAATGGGATATGAGAAAGCAGAGGACATGCCACAGACTTTGTATGAATAGGCAGTACACATGCCCATTTGACAAGCAAGTGACAGGAAACCTTTAACCTTTGACAAAATAGAAAATGGCCATGGCAAAAGCTTTTCGGGATTAGGAACATAGCTGAGGCCTCATCTCCATGTGCTAAAGCTCCAGGCAACCAAGCTCAGGATGATTATTGCTTTTTTAAGATAATTCTGGGTCAAGACAAGGATACCAGATAAAGCTGTCCATCCACCGCCATTTAGTCACCCACTATAAGTCCTGCTCCCTTTTGCTGCACAGAGCAGCAGTCCAAATCATCCCTCACTTTCTCCATCCTAGTTCAGTTTTCTGCATTTTGGTCTTTCTCTTCCTGGTGGGAAAGGCTGGCCCAGCCCATACTACTCATGGTAGGGGTTACTTACACAGCCTTTTTTCCTTGAAGCTAATCTGCTTTGTTGGGTGTCTATCTTATCTGCTGTCCTAGAAGGTGGAAAGCATTAAGGTCTGTTATTAAATGCAATCTTCACAAGAAAAGGAAACAGAAGGCACTTATTCTGTCTACTGTATAGCAATTTTAATATTCAGACAATTTATTAACAGGATGAGCCCTTAAAGGCAGCTTTACATTCATGTATTACTAATTTTATCCGAGTACACAACATCTCATTAGCAGACAGACACTTCATTCTATAGCTGGGCCACATTTGCAATAAAAATTAGAAATTTACCATCTAAATAGCATCCTTTAATACATGTAAACCCATTTTTCCAACAGTCTGGCATGTCAAATACTCTGACCAACTATACCTTTCCCTGAGCTCAGTTGCATGTAGTACCTAATAAAAAAAAGTAAAAACACACATTTTGTCAACTTTTCTTACATGACAGTTCACTTGCATCCTCCTACAGAAGTCACAACTAAGATATAGCATAGTTTTCTCCCCATGCTCTCTCTTTGGAAGAGAAAGTTTTGCTAGGATTTCAAAAGGCTACTGATTCCAAGCAATGCCTGCACACTCAGGATGAAAAGAGCTCTTCGGCTTCACTTTCCAGAGATGAGTTCCTGGAGACAGAGCTATTCCAGACCAGCCACAGCCGACACACTGCTCTGCACCCATATGAGTCCTAGAGAAGCTCTAGAGCACACTGTTCTCCTCAGATCATCTTTGCATCTCTAGATGAGAAGGCTTCCTCCCTTCCGCCAAGGACCTGTTCCAAAACCACCTCAGTAGGTTGCCTTACCATATATTAAATCAAGCATCTGTTTCTTCCTATACTCCATGCTAAGCTACAGACAAATTGTTTAGCTCATGATACAGGAAAACTCTTTTTGCTAAAGAGAATTAAAGAGGTAAACACTGTCAAGTTCACTAGCACATTCTAGCTACACCTCTCTAACTAGACCTCAGCATGAAACAGCACATACGGAAGACCTCTAGCCTCTCTCCATATACAGATGATATTCAGATACAAGCAGAATTTATCAACTTCAGAAATGTGTTCCAAAATGAGCTAGTGGAGGAAAGAATACATATATTTCCAAAACATATTTCCTTCAGGAACAATATAGGCAAACAAAACTGGAAGAACTACATAGTATTCAGAGCCAGGAAAGCTCTTTCAGACAATTGTTTTGTTTACAAGTGCCTTGACTACAACTAAAATGGCATCATATCTGTAGAGTTTCTAATTTCAGTTAAGCTTTAAGGCAATCAGGCTTAATTTCCATAGGAAGACCTTCATCGCTCCATCCTCTTCCATGTTCACCTCATGTACACACCTCAGCAAAACTCTTGGGCCCACACAAAAGCAAACAAAGTATTCTCCAACTAAGGCATTCAGCTGAGATCAGGATTAGCTGCAATGCTCCCCAGGAAAACAACAGTGTCATCACAGCTCCATCATTCATGGGTGTTTCCTAGGGCAAACAATCCTTAGGGAGGTGCAAAGCGGGGAGGGAAGCGGGAGCTTGAAAATAAACAAAAATCCTTGTTTCATTTATTAGAAGAGTCAAAAGATCTTCTGTACCAGAGACTTCATAGCACACCTTTCATCTACAAAGAGTGACAAAAGTTCCCTTTTTCCCCAAATCTATGTCTCTTCATTCTGAAGTCTTGCCTGAGCAATTCTAGTGTTACCAGATCATATGCAAAATGTAACAAAATTCATAGTTGATATTAAATAGTACATTTCTCATCTAAGTGCATCTTACACTCGCCTCTCATTAACCGTTCCCTGATGGTCCTCGAAGTTGCAGACTACCAGCTCTTTCTGCCCCTTCTCGTTGCCCGTGCCGTTGTGCCCCCCGCAGACCCCGGCCGCGCGCGCAGCCGTCCCTCCCTTCCGCTGACTCCTGCCTCCCGAGCTGGCCCCAGCGCAGGAAGTGCTGGAAATCGCTGCTTCTCCACTGTAAAATGCATCATGGAGAATATATGTAGATCATTCTGATGTGCATTTCCTGACATTTGGTTTATGCTTTGCAGTAAGAACGCCCAGGCCGTGGTGAACACAGCAGTACAGCCTAATTAAAATAGCTCTCTTCCAGCTTGTGCCAGATGAGACCATTGTGCCATCCCTGTGAAGGGCAATGAGATCTATTTATATTTGCTGCTTTTATGAAGTATAAGGGACTAAAAGGTGCAATAAATATAAACATCACATGATCAGTGGTTGCTATTTCTTCTTGCTGCACTTTTCCAGTCTAAACTACACAGGGAGAACAGAGCCTGAGACCACTCCCTAATTCCTAGTGGACATCTTGATCAATTAAAATGACATGTGTCCAGGCTTTTCTTTCCTCTGAACAGCAAACAACTCAAACACTGGCTCTTTTAAACATGCCAAGCCAAACCATTAGCATTGTTAGATATCATTCAGCAGAATTAACTGGAAGTAAAGCAAAATCAGCACGGCCTCTAGAAGCAAGACCTTAATACAAAGTAAACATATTGCACACCCAAGAGTTGCTTAACGTTGCAGACCTGATGTTTTCACTCAGTCGGTAGATAGAAGAGACATACATTACATATCTTGCCACAGTGGACAGAGAATAGGATTATTCATATTCTTATTGTATTCTTACATATCTTGCCACAGTGGACAGAGAGAATATGATTATTCATATTCTTATTGTATTCAGGTATTATAAAAAGAAAGAACCCTCATAATGCCTGAATCTTTGGCTACATCTTTTACTGCAGTTGCAGCAGGGAAGGAAAAAAAGTGTTTTCTTACCAGCAAGAGATGAATCTGAAATTCATTAAATACATATTATAGACTATTAAAAAAACACATGGAGAAAATGACACAGTAGAAGAGATAAAAGGCACTTACTTTCAAAACTACCTTAGGATTGGATTTTTTTTTTCCCATTTGACAGTTATATCTGTGTTTTGCTTTTTTAAAAAAATAAAATTGAAATAAAATAGTATTAAGCCATATTTTAAATTAATACTGTGCCAGTTGCTTATTCAGCATCGATTTGTGAAGTATTGTGTACTACAACATTCTGGAAGCTCACTGGAAGAAAATAACTTGTATTCATGCTATTGAAATTTAATAGGTTTAATGAAAAGCTGCACACACTAGCAATAGTTAAATAAGAAGAAAGAAGAAAAGAAAAAAGATACCTTTACAGCATTAAAATTGAAAATGGCTATTTTACCATTTTTAGGTAAATCTGACTCCAGCAGCTTCAATTGGTATGTGAAATTTAAATATATTCTCTTCAAATTCTCAGGATATTATTCACAAATATAGAGATAACGCTAAATATTCAGACTCTGGGTGTTCTCTGTAGGCCTTTGTCTTAGCCTATCTGCCTGAAAAATAATATTTAGGCATGCAGCATCTTTCTCCAAAACGATTCTCACAAGGCAAACCCCACACATTCTCATATTAGAAAAACGTTATATAAATTAGGGAAATAATGGTGCAATTAAGAGCAGCAAAGCATCGAGCACTTACCATATCCTGCTCAAATCATTCCCTTTTGATGTTTACGGCACATCTGTAGAATGCAATCCTAGGAGGTGCCTTGTGTGACCTGCTGCATGATGCTGTGACATCAGTTCAGATGATGCAGCTCATTATGGGAAAGGCTGCTGTTGCCGTGGCAACCGAGATGTGATCCGAATCCTTACTGCATTTCCAGGGGAGCCCGAGACAATGCTGGAGCCCTTTAAAGGGGCAGGCAGAAATGCACACAGACACTTACAGTGCAACACCGGGGATGTCAGCATTCAAGTACTTCTCCTTTATTAAGAAATATTTGACAAATTACTCCTGCCTATTCCTCATACATATTCTGAGAACCAGATTTTTTTAATATAAAACTTAATATTTACTCTGAAGTCAATTATGACGCACAATATTTTAAGTCAAATTCATCTGTCCTATAAGAGAACCTCACTTAGAAGCGTCACTCAGTGATACAGCTTTAACATGAGGGCTATAACAACACTAGGTGTTGGAAAGTGGGATCAGGGTGGGGCAGGGCAAAAATATTTTGGAAACGCATCCAGGCTGCTTTTTTTTTTTTTTTTTTCCCCCCTCCCTACTTTAATTGCAGAGTAGCCTGGAAAAGCTGTGAGCAGGGCAGGTGCCTCCACCTCGCCAGCACAGCAGCAAGGCCAGCACAGGGAGAGCCGCTCCGCATCACCCGGCTGCGGGCTGGGACCGACGGACAACCCAGAGCTGTTACCCCCAGACCCCTCGTCACCCTGCACGAGCAGCAGCAAGGGGAGAAGGCAGCGTGAGCAAGCGCTTAAAAGGGGCTGGCTAGAAATTAAAATTCACAACCAAAGGAAAACCAGCACATTTCTGGCTATTTGCCAGTGCTATTTGGATGAGAAAAGGTCCTGGCAAAACCACTTTGCCCAGCCATGAAAATCCCTTTCTACATGGCTTTAAAAAAGTTACACAAAAGGCTAGACCCTATACACTTGATATACTCGGATCCACCAGATAACAAAAGCCCATTTTGAACCAAGAATGCTTGAAGCCTTGAAGACATCCAATAAACATGGGTGCCACTCTCAGAAGTCCTACATAGCATTAAACTTCAGTTCACAAGGAAAAGAGTTTAATCTTGGATTTTAAAGGGAATCATAAGAAATAGTTATACCCTCTTTCCCCCAAGTGTCTGGAAGAAAAAGGGGAAGAGCTGCACTGTACCTTTTGATTAGTGTATTAATACAAAGCTTCTCCATAAGACCGTGAGATGCCATAGCCATATCAGGAGGGATTCATAGTGATGAATCTCTCTTGGTCCTACAATGCTCTCAGTTTTGATACCCTTTCTACCTCCAATCCTATGTCACTCCATACAAGGAAATATACCTCGGACTGACTGAACATCAAATCGAGCTTGGTAACCCATAATAAAGTTTTACTTGCTAAATGATTACATCTGGTTTATTTCTAGATTTTACAGTATTACAACATACAACAACCACCTAACAACCTACAACTTACTTGTAGGTCTCTTAAGATATAATCAGCAATAGAGCAGAACAGGTTTTGACATATGACTGAGGATGGGCACAAAAGTTCAGAAATGCTATCACAACTTAGACTGCCCTGAATGCCATACTGCACAAATAAGAAGCTTTCTGAAAGTTTTCATTAAGGAACTCTACTTTTTCCAACTGCTATTTGGTATAGCTTTTCCTACTTTCACTTTTCACAGGCTGGGGAGCCCACATGGTGCCCCGGGCCCTGGGCCAGCACCACGGCAGGTTCCCCCACACCCTCCTTTGGGCCAGTGCTCCAGGCTTGCAGCTCTGCTCCCCAAGCCACACACAGCTCCACATGCCCCCACGTGCCCCTCGGATGGGATCTGACAGAACCAGGGCTGCTGCAGGAGTCAGAGGGGAAAGGAGACAGGTCAGACAAAAGGAGGGAAATTTCAGATTTTCACCACAAACTTCTAATTTAACACTAACTATAGACTGTACTCACTGTATCATCTATATTCACATACACAAACAATAATAGCTAAGCAGAGACAAAATAAGTGGTTTTCTTGACTTGAATGTTAGCATTCTTCACAAGTTAGCCCATCCTTTCCCCAGATCTGCTGGCAGGAGGCAGCACACAGCAGGTTGCACCACGCACAGGATGCTCATGTGTGCGGGTGATGCACGGCACTACACGGCCTTCAGGCCGAAGGCAGCAACCCCCAGGCTCACAACGAGAATTTCTGCCACATCAGTACAACAGGTAGAGCTCAAGTCCCCAAATCCCCCTCTTATTTTTTCCCCCCTTTCCTGTAAGGCTGGAGGTCTAGAGGACCACCCACTCCAGCTGGGTTTTGTTGTTTTTGTCTTTCTGTTGTAGAACAAGCGAGTTTACTCTTCTCCCCCCAGTCTTTTTCAGCTATATCTTTCTGTCAAAGTAGCATCAGTTGCTCCTGCTTTTAGTCATAATACAGAGACAATATGGGCATAAACTTCCAAAAACATAAATTCTTAATAGGTGTCCTTCCTCCCCAGTGCAAGCCATAGTCTTCCCTTCACCCCCTCCACTCAAATCCCTCTAATTGCTTTGAGAAAAAGAAGTTTTATTAACTTTCATCTGGGTGCCTCACCATAGTCACTGTTTTCCCTGCTTTCAGTTTACGTGCATATCTGTACATGGATCATAGACCACAAGTTCTGCACACACAAACCTTGACCAATCTGAGTAGACACTACCTTACACTTAAAGAGGTTGTTTTTGTTGGTGGTGGTGGTTTAAAAAAAAAAACACTCCCCCCTCAGCAAGACTAGTAATGAACAGGGACAAAACTGTTCAAAACTGTTTCACAACTTACTTTCTACTTGGCTAGGCTCTACGGAGGAGAAAAAAAAATAAAAAAATCAGTAAAAGCAAACCCACAAAGTCAAAAAACCAAAAAGCCATTGCAATCCTTTGCAATCCTTTTCTTTGAAGGAATGCAGATGTTGCAGTTTGCATTCTCCCCTCAAATGCAAGAGATTTGCTTACCAGTAGCAAGCTACCCAACCCAGAGGGCCAAGAGAGAAGGAGAAGGCACACTGGAGGAGTTCAGAAAGTGGAAAATGCATGTTCCCAATGCATGTTCTCTCTAAATTCAGAAGTTGACTTTAATTCAAAAACAAAATACAAAAAATAATAATTGAATGCCAGCACACAACAGATCTGTAATGTATAATAAGACCAAATAGAGGAAGTGGCAATCCTTGTTCAGGAAGAATTTTCACTCCAAGAATACCTTTCAGATTTTGTATGAATGCCTTAAATGATACAGCTGCTAATGCAGATGTCCACCTAGATGTCAGGAGGAAAGGATAGGTCACACACATTTAAGAACTCTGTCCTTTCCTTCTAAGAAGGAAGGGATATAGTTATAAATCTTATTGATTCTGCAAACTCAAGATTGTGCAGCAATGGCCCAAGGAGAGACACATACAGCCTGTCCTGGCTAAACTCAGCAAAACCCTAACTGCCCTGTTGGCAAGGGACAGAAAGGGGAAGGGACGGGTAGGAAAGCATTTTCTGCTCTGTCATCCAGGTCACCTGAGGCTCTGTTGATGGATTAAAAGGGATTAGGAGCAAGAATTAGTGTCCTCATGCAAAGCTGCACACCCTCACATTAGATAGGAAGGTTCCACAAGTTGCCACACAACCCACACATGCTGGCCAGACCTGCACTCAGTTTCTCTTGAGTGTGGAGCCCTTTATTCCTGCTAAAACAATACCCACAGAAGTCCCCTCTTCATGATGAGTATATTCACACTCCTACAACCCGAAGTGAAAGTGCCACCACAGGTTTCCTATCTGTGTGTGGGTCTCCATAACTGTACTATCATTACAGTACATTTATTTCTTCCTTCTCTATATCATAAGCACATCTAGTGCAAGCCCCATATACTCAATCTATTTAAAAAATATACAAAAACATGCACACATGCTTTTTTAATATATCAGTATAGTTGCGTGTGTATATACAAATATATATAAGACTTCCAGTCATTCCCCTTCTTACAGCATCTCCGCAGTAGAAAAATCTTTTCAGTCATGACTCAACATATTGCATCGGAAAGCAAGACTGCTTTCCCATTCCCAACACATTGAAAAAAGTATGGCAAGGATGTGAGTAATGAAATACTTCTACAAGCCACTAACGAGCTGATGGCCCTCAGATGGAGAAACACAAATAAACTCCAGGTGGTTTGGTATAGCTCTGGACCCAATACTACCATGTTAAAACACTCCAGAGAACATAACATGGTGATATTAGTAATAGCCTTCAGTGTGTTCTGTTTTTCTTTGGTCTCATACCTTCAACAGCTCAAGTAGTATTATTATTAACACAACAAAAATGTCCTGGAAGGTCTTAAGCTTATTACAATAACATTTATATGAAAAAAGTTAAACAAAACTAGATTGAGATTTTTCTCCTTCCTCCTTATGTTACTAAATACAACCTCACCGAAAAACAAAGACCAACAACTTCTTGTAATAATTTTTAAGCTTTACCAAGTGAAGTTGCAAATCTTTCTTCTGACCTTTCTATCCTGCTGTCTACCATGATAGACAGGATCTGAGATAACAGTTTCTTTTGTTATAGTCTTATCTATTGACTAATATATTTTCATACAACTTTCTGCTTTTCCTGCACTTTTCCAGAGCCTCTCCATTAATGTTTCCTCTCCATTAATAGTTGTCCAACTCAAGGCTGAGACCCACACACCACTTTGAACCTTGAGTATTGTAAAATAGTCTTCTCTGACCACCTAAGTCAAAATCTGCCCCATTCTATTCAAGACACCACCAGTAAGTTAATCTTTGAATCTACTTCATCTTGAAGTACTCCATGACTTTAAATCCATTATAATGTAGTATCTTCTATTTGTACTTTAAGCATCCTGGAAAAGTCTCATGGTTTAGCTTTTCTTTATCCTTCCCACTCTTACAAAGTCAACTACTTTGTTCTGCCATAAGTTGATTGCCAAGGAAATCCCTAGTGCAAATCTATAATAAATCTTAGTCTTCATCAAATTTCTACTAGCCTTGTTTCACAGAGATGACCCCATTTGTAAA